AATTTTTTGTTACTTTGTTTAAAAAGACCATGCTATCTGAAGAGTTATATTATTATAAGTACTAATAACTTATTAGTAGTAATAACTTATTAGTAGTAATAATAATGCAATCCCAAACTTCGAATATTTTGATACTAACATAGGCCTCACATCCGCAAATAGCTCTAGTAAACTATTTGATTTCAATCACAAATCTCATCAATTTTAAAAGGCTAACTGTTTTAGCTGTGTAAGCTCCTTAAAGTAGAACTCTTTTTCTGTGGAGTATCGGATAACGACATTATTTACGGACCATTTTTTCCTCCGAGCTATCATTTTGAAAGATTTTATGGATCCTTTCTACTGATACTCTAATTAGTCACATGTGTTTTATGTAAACTACACTAGTAAAGTAATTAAGATAACCAGAATTATACTATTTCTTATTAAACATAAGGGGGAACATGCTTCCAAAATCTTGCTTTGGTTTACACCATCTGCTACTTATTATTTGCCTTTACAATTGGTATCTTTCTAAAAAGATATTTTAATAATGTTACGGATAATCTCATCTCTTAAATTATGTGGTTACCCGCAACAGTAATATCGCGCCTGTTTTATTAATTTAATTCATCAATATGAGTTGTCCAATATCATAATGATCTCAGGATAATCATGAAAAACTACAAGCAATCGTGAAACTACCACATAATCTTATGAAATAAAGACTTGTTATATTTGAATTTAAACAGCCATCTGGTCCAAACTTTGAATTGAAAATGTATACAAATCACAATTTACATTAAACTTATGTCTTTTTCCTTCTATAATTTAAGTACTGTGCATTTATATAGAAAAACTTTTGTAAACTTAAAGAGAATTATTAATTACATATTTATAATTCTTACTTAGTTTACATAAGTGTTTTTGTATAAGTCAGAAATATTTGATTTAGACATAGTATAAGTTTAATATAAAATTGATTAGAAATAGAGTATAAATTATCAATATTGTATTAGAATACACATAGTGATAAAATGTCAGAAACATTTTATTGGCTTGTAGACTGTGTTTTTATAGTAATTAGAAGAAGTCATCATTAAAAAACTAGTTTAATATAAAAATTGATTTGCGTCAGAATTGAACTAGTAAGCAGTGAATAGTCATCCACTTTAATTAAATTAATACGCTTATGATCTAAAAGTTAGTTTTTTTTTATTGCAATCTAGCTATACTTTATATATTGGAAGGTAATATATCCCACTTTTTCAATCCAATTGGAAAAGAATAGCATTGGTTATTTGAGATAAAGAAATATAAAAACATTTTAAATGTATATAGTATTTGGCTAAAATATGACTTTAAATGTAATTTTCAAGATCAACAAACCAGTTTTTAAAAATTTTTTAAAGCAATGTTAATATTATTATTTTTAACCTTTTTTGATTTGCTGCGTTTTTTGCTGGCTCTTTGGCTTTTGCCTATTTTTAACGTGTATATTAAATTGAATCCAATTTAATGGAACAATTAAGTTTAATATGAATTTTTGAATGCATCGCTTTATTAGATATTTGTTATAATTGTTGTATATAAGTATGTACTATGGTACATTAAATATACTCGTATAATTATAATGGCTTAATTGCTTATTCAATTAACACAGTTTTGTAAAAAACAAGAAGCAATAATAAAACTAACAGTTATATAGTCATCGATCTTAACTTTAGGTACCACATGATGAAGGTATATGATTTGTCTGAACATAATATAAAGTATATAACACACAAACTATATAACCTATTCGGAAGAAGTTTTTTAGCAAACTATTATTTATTTAAGCAACGATAAGAGCAATAATAATAAGGTATTTTCAGGAAAGTATCTTTGATAATAATACACATTTTTAGCTGTTTAATTCACATTTTTAATACCTTTTTTTGAAAGAAAGTACAGACTATCAATTTAACATATTGCAAAAAATCAGAACCAGATAGAAGGTTCTCTTTGCGTAAATAGTGATGATCTTCATCATGCAAAGCGATTCTTCTCCATAAATATGTAAATGCATAATATTAGCAAATGTCGAAGGTTTATATATCTTCAATTCTTTATTAAAATAATCATACTTGCAACTGTTTCAAAATTTTATATTGTTAAAAATATAATCGTTCTTATGTGAAGAAATTGTTTATAATTTATTTATATTCTTGTAAATAGTGGTAAGCGAGGATTTTGTAATTAAATATTTCTAACATAAAATTTTCAATGTATTAAATTCTGAATTTATTTCTTCAACTTCTTCGAAAATCCAAAAATTTAGACAATACCTTCATATTTAAAAATTGAAATAGAAAAAGAATCTTCTTAATTTTCTGCATCACATTTTGCTGTATCATATGTATGTGACAATAAGTTTTAAAATCGTAAACTATATACTACATATATGTTATATATATATAAATAATTCTTCTTTTTTATTTAATGTACCACAACACATTATAAATTTGCTATTAATTTGATAATGTCGTTTCTCTATTATTTAGTTATAGAAACTTGACACATACATCTAAATGAAAATAGTCGACTTAAACACTTGGCACATATTAAACATAATAATTGCAAAATGCATTAACAGATATCAATGAAATTTCACATTTAGTGTAAGAATTAAATATAGCTCCCATATAAAATAATACTATGCATAGAGCATTAAAAACAAAGTAAATTTATACAAAGTTAGGTTAAGTTGAAATGACAGCTTTGTGCCAAAAGCCTGCTCAAATAATGGACTCAAGTATCAGACCAGAAATATTCCCGAAAACATTACAGTGATCAGCGCACCTGCAACGCCGAAAGGCACAACGTCCCCATTCAAGTGAAAGTGAACTATCCTAATAATTCTATAAATTTGATCAAGTCCCTTATCTTGTACAATGACAGCTCCATCAAATCGGTAAGAAAAGGGAAAAGATATACTACAAAAGAAAAATTTTCATAGAATAATTTAATATTTCTCAACCGCCGATGCACGTATTGACACGACCAGTGTTTAACGATAGTCTTCACAAAAAGTATTAAATATTCCTTTATAAAACACCTTCAATATTTTTCCGGACTACGTTCTAAGTTGAGAAACACAAATTTAGTTTGCGTTTCGCGAGCAAATCCACTTCTCAGCATTCAGACAATTCTAAAACAATCAATATGACAATAAAACATATATTAGGAAACTAAGCACTAGCCGAAATATTAAATTTCACTTTTGTATTAAATTATAATACATACATTATCTATGAAAATTAATACAAAATCGAAACATTGCTTTATAATTGCTTATATTTCTAAGGGACTTATAGCACTCTATACTGCTTCCTAAAATTATGCAATTATTTTTGCCTAAAATGTGAAAATTGATCTCTAATATATAGTGAAAACGTTATGGACTTAATATGTGAATTTATTTATTATTTATAAGTAAAAGTTTATAATTTATTGAAATGTTTACTTTAATCTGATATAGTTTGTTTAAGATAACTTTCCTATAAAGACAAAATTTGTTCATGTTAGACTTTATATTTTTCTTTCCCCAAAAATATGCAAATAATTTAATTTAGATTTTATATGAATTGATATATTTCATTTTCGGAAAATATGCAATAAATAAATTATTACCAGAGGAGTGAAATCTTAGATGTTGTTGTTGTTTATATAAGCTAGCTGAATTGTTTAATTATATGTAAATATTTACACATAATTTAGTAATATTTAATATTACTAAATTTATTAGTAAAATTTGAAGTTTAGAATGCAGACTAACTTTAATAAATTATTTTGTAACACACAGACGATATATAAATATGCGTACACACATACTTAAATGCATTAAATTATGTATAGTCGTATATTTTAATCTTTATTTATAATACATAAAATTTTAATTACTAAAGACTATTTTATTTTTATTACATTTTTGCTTAATGACTCCTCTCTCTGTTGCTAACACAAAAGCATGTTGTATTCATAATGGAATTACTTGTGTCTTGTGCCCTTTTGTCCTTACAGGATTTGGCTTGTATTTTCGTCGCTTTTGTTTATTTAATTTACTTTAAAAAACTCACATAAAATGTGTGCTACTTTGACACTTTTTCGCATAATACTTAATGTATCTACGCATGCAATCAAACAGTTTTTTTTTCCTCTCTTTTAGCTACTTTACGTCAAAAAGAAATGCTTTCATTCATTTATCTAACAATCAACAACTTTAAACACCGCACTAAGCTAATGCGCCTGAGGATATGTAAAGTCTTTTGTAAGCATACACAGACACATAAATAATATGAAAAAAATATTGTTCATATTCATGCGATATACAAATACAAGTGCAGATGCTTTATATTATGTTGTATATTTTAGACGAGAATGTTTTCAGATACGAGTTCATATTCAGATACGAGTTTACATTCAGATAGGACTATATATTCAGTTACTTTGCTATACTCGTATATTATTTTTGACAATTGCGCTAAATTTGTGTCATGTGTCATATGAAAAATTATGATAAAGTTAGAAATATTTTATAATATTTAAGTAGATGTTTTTGTTCTTTATATATACCTATATGGCTATATGGAAGCGAGGAAAAAAAAGATACATTTTAATAGTTTGTAGTAAACTTAAAAAGTATGCAGTTATAAAAATTTAAATGTAACTCACTCATATCCTTAGACAGGATCTTTTTTATGGTTGGCTTTTAAAAAGTTTGAAAAATGTTAGTGAATACTGACAAATGCTGACAATTTGTGGAGTTAACAGCATTCCATGGTTAGACAGACAGACAGACAGACAGACAAACAGACTTGCTTATGAATAGGTGAGTCATGTCTGCTGTGATTTGTATACATTCGGTTAGTACGTGTTGTTGACAAGCCCTGAAATGCTCATCAGAGTTGCCGACGTGTATGTATCGACACTGCATTTGTTACTTTAGTGAAACATTTTTGCTTAACATTTACTTAACTTACCTATTTGCTGTCGAATACGTGCTTTTGTGGTATAATATTCTGCTTATCGCACTCAGTGCCACTAAAACTTATCACAATTTACTCCTTAATATCCTTAATATACTTTTCACTTCGTAATAGTCGTTTAGTTGCTTTTATATTTTCTTAGTTTCGTTTGTTTGTTTGTTGTTTTTTTCTTTTTTCCTTTTTTTTTTGTCTTCTTTACTAATTCTTTTTATTGTTCTTTTTATTATTATTATTTTTTTTTTTTGTGTTTTTAAATTGGCATACTTTGCACTACAAACACACACACGTGGCCAACATAACCAATGTTGTAGCTAACATAGCCGGCTTAGTTGGCACTGCTCATGCTGCTGCCAATATGGACAGCGCTGCTGCTACTATGTGTGCTACTCTGTGTGCTACTATGTGTGCTACTACTGCACAATGCACTTAAGTCGAGTGTGTGTAAATTATTTGTAGCAGTGGTGAAGCGTGGGTTACGGCAGTGCGCTACACTTATAAGTATAAGAATTCACTTGAAGTTTCCTTTGGCTTGTTTTCGGTTGCTTGGTTGGTTAGTTGGTTAGTGCTTAGCACGATTCACACACATACACACAAACATATAAGCACAGGCAAACATATGCACATCTCGCTTTGTGTCTTTTGTGCAAACAACATGTGTGAATGAATGATTGTGTTACGAACTTTTGACCCGATTTGACAACGTACAATGACTTCTTCTTCTACTTCCACTTCGTGTACTCTTCTTTTGTAAGTAATTTTTATTATTATTTTTTGTTTTTATTAGTTGAACTTTTTTTGTTTTGCAGTTTATAGTTTTACGTTTTACAATTCGCAGTTCGCAATTCGCAATTCACGTTCACACCCTTGGCAAAAACTCAAGTTATTATTGATTGTTAACTTTCCAACAGGAAGCAAAATACGCACGTTTTTTGCATATAAAAAAAGCGTAAACAAAGTGTCAATGAGCCAAGCCAATGCTAAGCTAAGTAAAGGAAGAAGAAATCGAATCCGTTAAAAACTTTTACCACCACTTTTATTTTTATAACAGTAATAAGTTTAAATATATTTTATCGTTCAATGAGAACATAATTTTTATGAAAAACTCTTTAGCAATAAATTTTCAATAATGTAATTTATTTTAAATTTTTATCCATTTTTAATACATTTAAATTTTAAGAAAAAATTTTTTTTTGTGCTTTCTTAGTATTTTAAAATTTTGTAATTTTGCATTCAATAGATTTTTGAAAATTTTCTTTAAAATTACTTTTTAAACTTTTTAAATTAATGCAGATTTGATTTCACTTTCCGCACATCACACAGTTTAAACACAACAATTCTATTGAATTCACATAAAACTGCATTAGAAAATATTTCGCTGCAATTATAAACAATTCAATTAAGATTTTAATTAGCTTCCGTTTGTGTTTAGTGGACGACTTGACAGCCAGCGCCTTACGTTCGTACTGAAACTGACCTAAGTTGTTGTTGATGCTCATAGACGCTATCGTACAAATATTTACTAACGCGTTGTAGCGCACTATTTCGGAATCTTTCCTTTCCCGTTCACGTTCAAGGCGTTTTTGAAACAAACTTCAATCTCGTGTAAAGCAAAATATTGTTACTGTTTTTTTTCTTCTTTTTTTTTTGTGGCTTTATCAAAGTTTCGTGCGAATATTTTCTCTCGTTTGTATTATTTTTACTATCATTTACAAGCAATTTTTAGCGCAAACGCTGTTCTATGCGGAGATGCTTATTGCATCTGAGAGAACTGTCAAACCTCTCTGATTTATGAAAATACATTGCCAAAGTAAGAAGTCACGTGAATATTGACTTTTGAATAAAACCGCAAGAAAAAAATTATCTTTGCAATCATATGATTTCAACGTAACTGTCACTTTTCTTAAAAACAACGTAAAAGCGCATGTTTTGCTGTAAGCTTTCGCCAGAAGTTTAACAGTCAATGGCTTTTGAATTGCATTTAAGCTCAATTATATTTGCTGGAGAAATTTATAGGAGTAATAAAAATAACTTTTTAAGCATTAGTAACACATACAGGGAAATAATAATAATAAAAAGCTTAACAAGGAAAAATTTGATACAATTATCGTTTTTGTTTGTTTTACATGTGTAAAGACCGTAATACGAATAAAGACCGTAATACTAATAAAGACCGTTATATTTATAAATTTTAGAATTTATAAATTCTAAAAAATGTCTGATGCAAAGACCGTAATATTACGGTCTATGGTACAGTTAATGAAAGGATATTTCTAACGCTTTCTATAGACCGTATTACGGTAAAATTAATTTTTACGGTTTTTAAAGTTTGCATTCAAAAAGCTTTAAATGGTTTTCTTTATACCATATGACGGCTTTAAAGTCTATCCTCAAACAATATTTTTCATTATAATAGCGCGGCGTTTAAGGTTAGGAAATTTACAGTTAATACGTGTAGTCATTAGACTGTATAAATTTTGTGATTTCACCACGTAAGTCGTCAGATCAAACTTGTTCTGCAGAATTTGATATATACATTCTTCAAAAGTTGACATTCCTGCATCGAAGAGTATGCAATTATAATGAAGTAAAACACTATTACTCCGAATCAATTAAAACTGGAGTCAATCTGGCTTACTGAGACATTCAGAGTCATTAATAAAGTCATTATTTTGACAACAAAAACTAAATAGAAACTGTACAGTAATTCACTGGTCATTAAACAAATCTATTATCTTAGGGACAGATTCATATGATATATAAAAAAGTGTTTTTAGGTACCTAGCAAACAAAATGTATAAGGATCATGCTTTTACAAACCGGACAAATCATCTCCGATTTAGCTAAAATTTAGCATAAAATAAGCAGACCTATATCATGGAAATAAAATTTTTTTCCTAAAAGAAAAACAAAAATATCTCAGGATCCAGGATCTCTGCGTACTATATATCCGATAAATGAATTTTTTAAGAAAATTTTACAAAAACTCTTATATATTATTTTTGATTTGTACTAAAATTCTACACAATTTTGAATAATTTCTGGATGCTATTGTCCTTAAAATTTATTTTTTAAAAATTATTTTCAGTAAAAAAAAAAAAATTTGTCACAAATTTATCTTTTTTACTTTTGATTCAGATTAATTAATAAATTATATTAAATAATAAATTATAGTTAAAAAATAAACATTTCCACTATGAGATTCTTTTTAGAAGCGTCCTACACGTCACTCATACGCATCATAACACTGTTTAATTAATTTTACACAAAAATGACACAAAAATTTTCATTTTTTATTTCTGAATTAAATTTATTATTGAATTCTATATTAAAAAGAAGCTATTTAAAACATTATTGGTCTTAGAAATATTAAATAAATTAATTTCGTGTCATCTCTATTTTCAAGGTTTGAAAATAGAGATTTTTTTTTAAAATCCCTTTTAAAAGGGTTCATTGCGACAAGCCTTTGAATCTTTTTCTTATATTGATGAATCAAAAAATTAAAAAGCGATAATTACATGTAATATTAACCACAAATTGGATTTATTTCACTAGGCTACAGATAAGTCATATCATTGCAAGTGATCCGGATTAGTGAATTAGTTTTCGACCCGGAATATAAGATATATAAATGCATGATTTAATTTTTTTAAAAAGTTATTGCCACACAAAGCTGTCTGAATATGCACACGAATATACCATCTACAGTCATTCATCACATAAAGCTGGAAAGGGGGACTAACTAATAGCAAACCATATACAAAGACCGTATTTGACAAATACAAAGACCGTATATGCCAGATAAAACACAGTATTTACTGGAGAAACAACTTTTAACTACAATAAAGCTTTTTAAAGAGGAGTAAAAGGAAAGCAAAATTGTTAAAATAATGAATATTAGGATTTTATAAAGGAGAAAAATTTCTTACTGAAAGCCAGAAAAAAAAGTTCATTAAAATCCTAGTCTAAAATAAACTGAAGACTTGTGCGGAGTAAAATTCACAGGACTATTGCAAGAAAACTACAAGTAATATAAAGAAAATTTCTAAGCAAAATATGATCGTCAAATAAGACATTTATACATGATCATCAAAAAACAAAATTAAATTATTAGCAATTTAAAATAAATGAAATTTTTCACAAAACTTTTCAAAAGCAATATCTTTGAATTGCCGTAACAATTGAACCCTTAAAGTATATCTTTGACATCAATTTAAAAGTTATTTAATACACTAAAATATGATATTTGGATTAAGCTTTTGAACAGTTTTCTACGTATCCGTGATTTTTTAAATAAACTTTTTGTCTGTAAACTCTTTATCGTTCTTTATTATCAATCAACCTCTCCTTACCTTAGTATCTTACCCCCTATCCACTAATCGATGTTTTTTGTCTTTACGTCAACAAAATAATTTTCTCATTTTAAAAAAATATGTGGGATACATATATATATATATATAAAATATTTAATGGAAATTAATAAAAATAAACTCACAACTTTGTTGAACTCTAAACTTGAGAAATGAATTTTAAATAAATCTGCAAATATTTATATATATATGCTATAACAGATAAATATTCATTTTCAAGATATCAAGATTTTAAAGATTATCTACATAAGCAGAATCTCATTTCCCTCCCAACAAAACAAAAAGCATTAGTGATAGTTCCATGCTTTTGGTGACCAATTCACATCACCATCCTATTAAAATCCAATATTTTCTACATCCATATGTTTAATATCAAGTTAATATCAACTTTAATAATTATGCTTACTTTTAATAATCAGAATTACTGTACTATCGTATTATTTAAAAGATATCCTAATGTTGAAAGATCGTTGGACGCAGTGTGTGGAGAGACTACATTGAAACATAATATATAATTTACATATAAATATATATATATAAAAAATGCGTTTTTATTACTTAGGCCTAGTATTTATCAATCCATTTAGTATGTATCATATATCTTTTGTCGTCTTATAAAAAGTACGGTCCTGTCACACCGCCTGACCAAGTGCCATGCAACGCAGTGACTTCTTGTTAATACAAAGATCTTTTAACAGCAACTTATGGGTTTTCATTATTCTAGATGTGATATTTTTGTTGATAGATCTACCAAAAGAAAAATAAATCTCAGTAACAAATT